CCTGATCCTGCCTAATCTTAGAAACTTAGCAAGGTTGGGTGGATTGAAATCTGGAAGGGTGACTGGAGTCCTTCATTGAACAGGTGGTTGGGCTTAATGGCCTGCTTAGACTCCTTCCAACTGTATGATTCTATGATTCTAGGAAGTCTAACCCCATAGAAAAAACCTGGAAAGGGACAGTTTTCCTGCACAAGTCTACATACACCAGTGGGTTACCCCATGTAGAGAAGCCCCGAATGCCTGGGAGTAGAGAACAGCAGGGCTGCACTTTTGTCCCCCTGAACAAGCGAGGCATGAGCTACTCATGGTCAGTGCTTGAAAATTTCCTTCTGGGAATTGCCCATGAGGTTTCTCCAGTGCCAAGTTCTGACCAAGGGATGCTGTCCCTGTGATGATGGGTGGTGGTTGCAGGCCTTACTACATTACTGGGATTCATTAGGGGCACGGGGAGGCTCAAAGGAACTGATGCCCTATACTGGAACAAAAGTGGAACTGGGTGCATATTAGAGCACTGGGGCTATTTCTCCCCCTGCTGCTGCCTCTTCTGGCCTCCCCAGCCAGGACAACAGTGGTGTTGGTGGCTTCTTGCTTGTCCACTCTCCGAAAGCAGTGATGTGGCAGCCACCCTCCTCCTCCCCTCTTCTTGACCAATGTCAGTGGTGAAGGAGACCATCCTCCTCCCATTTTCCCTTCCCCACTGCTGTTCTTACTTCACTCCCCACCTGGGGCACTGGTGGGGCAGCTGCCCACTACTGCCTCATCCTCCTCCATAAAAGAGCCTCTCTTTTTCCCTCCCTGGCCATGATGGCCTGCTCTGTTCCTCTTCCTTTTCTTCTTCCAGTAGCACCAACCCTACCTTAATATGTGATGGCCACTGCCACTCTCCTTCTCTTCCTTCTCCCACTGGCAGCACAGGGGATTTCCGCAAACACCTCCCCCACCCCCATGCCTTACTCTAAAAAAGGACCCTGAACAGTGATGCATTTGGACTCCCTGGGGCCATACTGTCTGCTCTCTCTTTTGAGTGACTGGCAGGACTTCCCACAGGGGCTGCCCACTCAAGGCAAGGCATCAGGTGGGTGGCATTCCAGAAGATTCTGCCAGCTGCTCCCACCACAGCAGCAGGGCAGCCAGCACAGCTTCTGGGGTGCTTGGCAAGTGGCACAGTTCTTCTCGGGACAGAATCTACCACTTTGGGGATTTGCCAGCTGAGGTGAGGGATTCACCCTGCCTCATGGAAACTAGCTGTGAAAAGTTCCTAGCTGTGTACTGTCAGTACTGTGGCTCCAGTATGAAAACTATTGTGAAAATTCTCCATAGCCAAAGGCATCTTTTCTGCTATTACTGTAATGCAATCTTAATAGGACACTTCACAAAAATTAGTGATACTCCAAATCTGGCACCTCACATACTATGCTTTAGGAATGAAGTTAGGTGGGAAGTAAATCTCCATGTTCACCTCACTTGAGATTTTCATGTCTCAACAATATATGTATAATGATCACCTTTTAGTAGTGTATCATTAACCTTTATGATCTTTGCATGTACGTTTAGCGCATGTCTATGAGTACTAATGCAGACCAGGGTGTTTATAATTGAAAATAACTACTGTGAAATCCGTTAACATGTGTAACCAATTCATATACAAAGCAGAGCTTCGTGTGCCTCACTGACCTTGGTGGCAACACAAAGGTTGCGTTTCCACATGGTTAAACTACTCCTGAACAATTTGTCCACCTCACCAGGCACACACCATTTTTACTCTCCCCAGAATCATTTAAGCAGCAGGTCTTCCCTGTTTCTTTCCCTGCACCTCCATCCGCAGATGATGCAATGTGAAGAATCTCCTGCCATCCATCCTTCTGTGTTTGGAACACGAAAGCAAGGGACACACTCGAGTACCAGGGTGCTTCAGTTATTAGAAACAGTATTTGCATGGAAATGACCTGACCCTGGGCAAATGCATTTCAAGTTACGTTCTTAAAGTATTTAAGCTGGCAGTAAATCTGTTGGATAAATGCTGCTGGATAAGAAATGCTGTCTGAACAATGTAACGAAGGGAGCATAATTGTAGTAGGGAAGGTGATTTCATCTGTGACAGATGAATGGATTTGTTTCTGACAGGAAGAACCACTAAAGCACAAGTGGATAGGAATGCAGTTCTGATGATTTAGCCATAACTTGCCTTGACAAATTAGAATTACTTCTTTCTGTTCTTCAGTATTGACATATGTGTCTTGTAACACTCAAAGAAATCTGAGACTTCCTATGTGCTGGCCGTTGCAGACAGCCATATCTTTTTAACAACAGAATGTGATACTTGCATTTTACTTGTTCTCATACCTGTCGTGCACAATGTGCAGCCACAATTCAATATAGTATCTGTTCTGTAGATCTATAGATTTCTTGAGAGCCTCATAATGTGCCACCAGAAAACAGGATTAATACTCTGCTGGCAAGAAATGCTGTTTAAACAAATTTCCTGGGGAAACAGACAAACAGAATGGCTTTCTTGAGCCATCTGGAGTTTTTGCTATGAAGGCACTTCACTAAGGGCATGAAGGCACTTCACTAAGGGTAAGCTGTAGTTTGTATGGGTTATATTTTGGCTAGCTTGTTTAGGCAGAATGAACTGGTGAGAGGACAACATATTCAAGCAATATGATTGCCTGAAAATGTGACTTGTTTTGGCAAATTTGTGGTTTGTTTGTGCGTGCACGTGTACTCTAAATGAGATTGAAAATTGATATGCTCAGCTAGGACAGACACGACAGGAGCCTACAAAGCAATGACAGGTAATTTAGCCTGGTGTACATAGAGTTGATGGAGGCAGTGGATTTTCCACAATCCCTTGAGAGATCTCATTTGCAACCAGAGTGTGGTCTGGCTGGACCCTGCCTTGCTACTCAATTCCCAGATATTGGCAATGGCTAGCAAATCATTATCAAATTTCAGTAATGTGAAGCATGCCCCTTTGTGCTAGTCTCATTCCACAGCATTGTAATTCATATACAATAAGTGCCTGTCTGGGTCACTGCATAGAGTTACTGTCGGAGATAATTTAGAAGCTCCACCATGAAGTATTCTGTGGCCCATTCCTGGTGTTGGCCTCTAGGAGCATATTATGTTTGTTTCTGCACATATGCCTCACTGGCAATTACCTTCTGGACCCAGTTCATGGGCAGATCATTACCTTTTGAGCTGTTGGCAGTCTCTTCCAGACATACCTGAAAGACTGTCTTCTCTGAGATTGTCAGAGGAGTTTCTTCTCTCATACTCTTCTTTTCCAGGGACTGATGGAGGCTCAGAGCAAGCCCTTCTTGGTAGTTATACTGATCCTTTATGACACCTTTCTATTTATTTTGTAGGATAATTAAAACTAAAGAGTTCCAGCCCAGTGGCTTCTGATGAATATGGAAATGATCCAAATTCTATACCCCAAATAATGAAAGATCCTGTTCTGAGCATCACATCTGATGCTTATTAAAAGAGAGAGAGAGAGAGCCCTGTCCTACCACCACTCCTGTCTCCAAAAATACTTCTGCACTGATATCACACAAATTGTCTTACCGTTTGCTTTCCTTACCTAATAAATCAGTGGTTCTGTATAGTGATGGTGTATTGTTTCCTTCTGTGCTCCTTCTTTGTCACTAGCAGTGTTGCAAAGAGAAGGCCTTATGGGTCGGGGGAAAGTGTCATTCTCCAAAAACCACTTCAGTTGCTATCCAGCACTTGTTGGCAAAAGGGACGAACAGGTGGGAGAAAAAGGAAAAAGCAACATACTTTGCTCTCCTGTCAAGTAAGAAGAGAGAACTAGGGCTGTTTTGGGGTAGGACTTAAGACATGTGTCAGGGATTGCTGGCAGAATGGCGAAAGGAAAGCCAAGTTTTTTCTTCAGCTTGGATATGATCCAAGAGAAAGAAGCATTTGGAAGCTTAGGAAGTTCTTCTCTGGTTTTAGCCAGGCTTTTGCAAACCCACAAGTTCTTTTTTGAGTCTGATGTAGGAAAAGCTCACCAGTTGAGTATTTGAGAAAGCTTTTCCTGGGGCTGGTTAGCTGTTTTGTTTTGCATTACTGCTGCTACTGTGTTATGCTGACTTTCTCATTTTGTAATAACATCATTAGAGTTCTTTTTAATATTAATTATATTTGATACTATTGTGCCATGGTCTGTGAACTTTGGTTAGAAATGTATAGTAACAGCAGCAGCAGAGTTGCTCTTTATGTAATCAAAATATGTTTCTTGATCAAGCTGAGTACAGACTTCTAGTGACCAATAAGGTGTGCATTATGGGTTCTTTTGACAGGAAAAAATCCTGTTGCTATGCATGTCTGCAGAAGGGGATGCATCAGTATGAACCTGTTTTCCTTTACCCTAGAGACTACTTCCCCTCTGCAAATCAACAGGCTTGCATACATCAGTTACCTTGCCATACGCGTATCATTTTTTCTCTGCAACATTTGGAAACGCTGGTTCAGCAATGGAGAAGAGCGCTGCATTCTTTAGGAACTGATAATAGCTGGCATATATAGTGCTTCCAAGTGGACTCTCTCTTCTGTGATTATTATGGCTCTGTGAATCTCTCCGAACGTAATGCAGATGTTGAGTGGTTGTTTCAGGGGTTGGTTGGTTGGTTTGTAAAAAGACAATTCCTCTTGTCAGAACATCAGTAATCAGATTTTAAAACTCCAGGAGTGTTTTATGAACAGCTTTTAACTTCATTCATACAGCATCAGATCATATACAGCCTGAAACAGGCTCATGCTGTGAGGACATTATCAAGAGAGGCCAATCCCCTTTCTTGGAATGTCTTGGCAACACAGCTGATCATACTACCTTGAATATGATGCAAAGGGGAGAGTCAGTACCGATGGAGCACAGGTATTTTGATTCAGCCCCAGGTGTTATCATATGTGGTGACCGACAATTTCAATGTTACTGTTACGGTTTCTTTCATTACATTCATTGCTGAACTTTGAACCTCTGTCCTCTTTCCCAGGTCGTCCCATTCCACCTACATCCTCGTCTAGCCTTCTCCCATCCGCTCAACTGCCCAGTTCCCATAATCCACCACCAGTTAGCTGCCAGATGCCCTTGCTAGACAGCAATACTTCCCATCAGATCATGGATACCAACCCTGATGAGGAGTTCTCCCCAAATTCATACCTGCTAAGAGCATGCTCAGGGCCACAGCAGACTTCCAGCAGTGGTAAGGAAATGTTATAAATGTGGCATTTATAACTCAAATGGGCAAATTCTGATGATCATGAAAACAATGGCTCAGACATGAACATGATGAGAAGTGGGGGAAACGGCAAATATTTATTGTTGGGAATATCTGATGTTTTGAGAGTTTTGTTAGATTGTTGTTTTACATATTGATAAATTAATATTTTTACTTTGTTCACAACATTTTATTTTAGAGTGCTTCTTTTAAATTAGTAGTTATCTATATGAAACTGAATCCATGAATGTATTTTATCACTTGATGAAAATCCTCATGTGTGTTTGTAGGAAAAATATATCCAAGAGGTATTGTACTGCTTTGCATTTTTATAGAATAATGCATTGACTTTTAAATGCTAAATATGAAGCTGGTCCTGTTACCTCTCCTACTATTCTCATATCAGTGTTAAAACTAATCCTAACTTTCTGTGATTTGTGCTCTGGTTTATAAAGCACTTAGGATCTATCTCTGATTGAGGTTCCCTGCCCTCAACCCTTCCTACCCCCTTCAGTGCCTTTCCTGGGATCCAAGTGGTCACCAATACTGCCCTGCATGGCACACTTTTCTTTTCCCCACCCTTAGCCATTACTGTGGCCTCCCCATCTCCTTCTCATAGGCATCAACACCACCACAGCCTTTGTTGTTGTTGTTGTTGTTGTTGTTGTTAGTCGCAAAGTCGTGTCCAACCCATTGCAACCCCATGGACAACATTTCTCCAGGCCTTCTTGTCCTCCACGATCCCCCGGAGTCCACTCAAGCTCACACCAACTGCTTCAGTGACTCCATCTAGCCACCTCATTCTCTGCCATCCTCTTCTTCTTTTGCCATCTATTGTTCTCAGCATTAGGTTCTTCTTCAGGGAGTCCACAGCCTTTGCTTTCTCCCAAATGCATGTGAGGCTGCCAATTGCACCACAGCCTTTTCTTCCCACCCCCACAAAGATCTTCTGAAGCCACCTTGCCTTTGCCCTTGCCCTCCACTGCCGCTGTGGTTTGTCTTCTCCTTACCCTGCAGCCATCTAGACCACCGTCACCACCCTTCCTTCCTTTCCCCCACACATTGGGAGATAAAGGGACTGCAGTGGAGGTGGGCCTGAGTAAGAGGAGCTCATAAGTGGGATGGGAAAAGGAAAAAGAATGGGAGAGGCAAGGAGTAAATAGTGAATAGGGAGGAGACAGGTAAACCTCCTCCCTCCCCTTCCCTCCTGCAACAGCAGTTTTGGTGATGCTTACAGGCACAATCCAAAAGTCAAATGTCCTGCATGCCCAGGGAAGGCACCTAATCCCTGAATTAGTGGAATGAACCAGAGGTAGAATCAAAAATAAATATACTTGATAGGAAAACAGAACAGAAAACTACAAAATGTTTGTGCTTTTCTTCTCTTAAAAAGCATCCCCATGTAACTTACATGAAGATGAGTCTGGTATTGAAGGTCCTACAAGGAATAGGATCAATCCTGTCATTCTGCAAGCTCAAATGGTGCTACTGGAGCTCCACTGAATCTTCCCATGACACAAATGGTTGCTTATTATGCTCAAGCAACAGGCTGTGGAAGGCGTTGCATGACCCATGGCACAGCAGAGATGTACAACAGGTTGCACAAGTATAATGCACAAGCACACAGAAATAAAACTGTAGCTGGATTATACTTTTTGTGCATATTTCAAAACCTAAGTTCTGCTAGTGCAAAATCTTCTGTGTTCATGGAATGACACAGTTGGATATTTCCCAAGGTTTCATCGGAATAGCAAGGTGGGGGGAACTTCTTGATGAGACCAAAGGCATCACCTATGCCAGCTTCCATTTTTTTACTGTGCCCAGGTAGATGTTTCTTGGAAACATACAAGTAGGACAGGCAGGCAATAGCCAGCTTCCTTTGTTGCTCCCCAACAACTGGTATACTAAGGCAGAACTTGGAAACTGAGTATGAGTGGAGCAAGTGACTGGTGTTTCCTCTGTGGGAAATTGTGAGTTTTCTGATTCCAGTGGTCTTGCGCTGGCAAAGTGTTTAGAAAATAAAGTGTAGTTGTTGGTGGTCTAGCGATTTTGTAGTATTAATATATTTTTGTGGAAAATACGATAGCTGTGCCTACAGAAACTAGTAATAATACATTTAAGCATGCAAATTAACTTGTTTATATATTTAAATTTTATAGAACTACTTTCTTGTCAAACTATCAAATGCTTTATGCTGTTGTAGGTAAGATAATTGTGAACAAATTTTATCATTTTTATCACACTCATTATGGATAGAGATAAAGGAGAAAAATGTATTTGGTACTTGTGGGTTAGGATTTGTTATTGGATTTTGAAATTCAAAAAGTGTTTGAGGATATCTGTCATCTTGACTGGTACATTTTCCTGCCTTTGCTCCTCATTTAACAGATGGAGTTGTTGTGCGAGGGTTTAAAATAATAGTATGAACCATTATGTTGATTATGTTTCCTTTAATAAAGTAGCACTTGCAAGGATGAGTGATGCTTCTTGACTAAATGTATACTTATGTTTGTGTCAACTGCCACAATTAGATACTAATCCTAAATCAGTTTAGGATTAATCTTTCCAAAGATGAGGTGGCAGTCATCTTATTACACTGCCCTGTGTCCTTCCTGCTAGCCATTCTTCATATATGTGAAAAATTCATATGCCTAAAAAAAATTACCTAATCAAATCTCCCATCAAATGAGCAATCCATTGTTGATATTATGAAGGCCTTTAATCTATAATAAATCTTTATTAGAACTCATCAGAGCTTCCACTTTGAGAGAAATGAGATTATAGCACTCTTAAAATGACATTACATCATTGGGGTGATTGGTTTATCATTTGGGGAACTGACATCAATCATAACTAGCATAACCACACAGCAAATGAATTCAACCTTTTTACTGCAGAACAATGACACTGTAATTGCTCCAAACAAGGATTAAAATAAAATATAAAATGCAGTTTCTTCAGAAATGATGCTAAGTTAATGGAATATTTTATTAAAAATCATGTTCAAAAATTGAATAATTAAAATATGTGGAGATTAATACTATTTAGAAAGTTTCCTTTTTGCCCAATTTTAATTGCATTTTCTATAGCTAATATAAGCAGATTTTAATCAAGGACACCCCTTTATATGCTTTTGATTGATAAATATTGTATTCAACACAACTTATGCAAGTATATGAATGCCAAAACTTATATTAGATGCTTTTGCAGTGATATTTTCTTGCTAGTGACATTCTGGGGCAAATCAGGAAAGGAGACTTGTCTCATTCCTAGAGTCACAAATTTATTCTGATTCATCCCTATTTTCAGTATGCCAGAGTTATTCATAAAAACAGACTTGTGCTTCTATTTGAGTGAACATAAAAAGGGAAGCCATTGGTGGCTGGGACTGCTCTGGGTGAACATTAGGCCTCCCCACATCCTCAGCTATTCTCAAGGTACAAGCATGAATGATTATTTACAAAAATGGCCAAAGTCACAGGTACAGCACATGCTTTGTATCCACATGGTCTCAGGTTCTGTTCTTGGAAACTCCTGGGAGGGTCAGAAAAGGGTCCCTTTTAAATCTGGTGCCAGTGAGTGTCAACAATACTGGTCTAGATAGACCAGTGATCTGACTTACAATCCTGCATTCTTTCCTTTAAACACAAAAATGTTCCGGAAATAATTCATTCCCTCCTTCCCTCCCTGTATGTGTGCGTGTGTGTGCGTGTGTAGACTAACTACTAATGTTCCTTTCCTGCCACTACCATCCTCCCTACAGCCTGATTGAAGTGTACCACCACAAAAAACAAAGACATAAGTTCCCAAATGCTCGTTCCTACAAAAGGAGTTACAAAAATTTAACCAAGAAGCAGAACACAGCATGTAGCTATGCAGACGAAGAAGCTGGATCATGCAAGGATAAAGTGTAATTAATATTTAGTGGAGTCACTAGAGTCACCCCAATTGTGTGTGTGGAGTGTTTCTTTCTCCATATGAATGAATGGCACTTGTCTTATGGAGATCAGTTAAGTGTTCCATTTTAATAGTCTGTTGAGAGTGAACATGGCAACTGCCCTCTACACTTAACCCTTGATGGTCCAGTTGCTATGAACGATTCCATGATGGGGGAGTACAATGCTTGCTTGTATGTAGAAGTGCAGAGATGTACTTGAGTCCTAGGGATTCCTGCAGTATACAAGTCCTTTCTCCATAAGCGGACTGCCTTTCAGTGATCCACATTGCACTAGTAATTCCACAAAAGCTAATTGGCTCTTCTTAGTAGAAGTGCTTCTCAAGAACCATTTATTTGTTTTTATTGTACAGCCAGAAATAGTAACACAGAAACAGAGTGAGTCAGAAGGGGTCTCTCAGGCCATCTAGTCTGACCTTCAGCTCCAGCCGGGTTCCCTCATGACATGCCTACCATGTAAAGGTTGTACAAAATATGTCTATGCTAACTATCATGTCTAAAACTGTGTATGCATAGACTATATTCTCTGTCAGTTTTGCTTTTTCATTATTATGACCACATATTTTTCTTCCATTCAGTGTTTCCTCCAGTTAAACTTTGGAAAAAAAATACCACACCACAATGCAGTTTCTTTCCAGTTTAAAAGATTAGGATCCCATCTCCCTAGAAATAGTAGGAGAAACCCAAAGTTGCATAAGAGAGCTCTGCTTCCATAACAGGTCTTCCCCTTCTTCTCCTCCATCCTGCACCATCTCCAGTCTCTTCTGGGGGGTCCTCCATACCTCTGGTGCAGATATTGAGGAAGCAAAGGAGTTTTTAAAAAATGTCCTTGCACTGCTCTTCTGTAGGCAGGAGGTGTTCACGAGATACCACCTGTTGCACTTGCCTTCAGTTGTGGAGAGTTTCTTTTCCTTCTATATAGAAAAGGAATGGGGAACCTGTGGCCATTTTGGCCTATAACTCCCATTCTCCATCCACATTGATTATAATGGCTAGAGCTGGGGGGAGTTGTGAGTCAAAACAAATGAAA